CAATATCATATTAACAAATTAATATTCAATCAGATGTGAATTTATTAAGCTATTAGTATTCAGTAAACATATTGTAGATCATTGTGAGAATATGTGATGTGAATCTAGTTATTTATGAGTCTAGAAATGTGAAAGAAAGCTTTAGAGATTCTTGATAATGTTCATAAATTATTAATGAAAAGTTTCTAGACCCAAAAATTAAAACTGAAAATATTTTAGATTTTTTTTGAAACTATTTTTAAGTTTTACAACGTCAAAGTTCTTCAAAATTTCTGTGAATATCAGAGGAGAATACGTGGACATTTAATCTGGTTCCAACAAGATTCAAAAGATCTAACAGATACGCAGTTATTTGCAGATTTGATTTTTATAACAAAACTCGAAATCTCCAATTGACGTCATTTTTTGAAAAGCTATAAAACTTTATTACTTCTTCATAATCCGGATATCTACATTCATATTTCACCATCCAAAAGAGCTTTAATTTCACCATCAAATTATTCCAAATTAAAAGAGTCTTCAAAAGACAAAGAAATACCGAGGAAACGTGAAACGATGCTTGATAAAACCTTCAATTAAAATGTAATTAAAAATCTTCTTAGAAGTAAATTCTCTTTGAAATTTTTTATTGAAATTAAAATATCTAAATCCAGAGTTTGAAGATGACTTTGTTGAAGATGGTTCGAGTTAATCGATTTGTCTAAAATGGACTTATCTTAATTAAATATTGAAATTTTTGACTAGATTCAAGTTAAATTTATGGCAAATATAAAGAAAAACAGAAATAAAGTTAAATTATGTCCATTAATAATAAACATGTGACTTCTTAGGACTTCTGTTACAACTGAAATAATCAAAATGGTTCCTTTTCACCAAATTAATTTAAAGAAAATGGTTTGAAATGAATTTTTTAACGACATCAAGCAATTTTCCAATTAATTTCAGACAAAATTTTGCCAACTTCCCTTTAAATACTTTTTAAGCATCCGAATGAAAAAGAATTTTAATTTAAAAAAATTTAAGCTTTTTCCTACAATTTTATCAAATAACTCTGCAAGATACAGCTAATTAAATTTCATGCCCAATGATTAAACAAAATTATTTTCATTTCATCCAAATTGCAATTTTCATTTTAAATGTGAATTGTGAACAGCTTAACAGTCAACATTAAAATCACTGGAACCACTAAGTGAGTCATAATAATTTTTTGGTGTTTATTTAACAACTCAATTAAGCACCAAAACTTTAGTGTTAAGTAGAAAATTATTAAATGAAAAGCTTTTAGCACGCGTAACATCAAAGTAATTTTTCGCATAGAAATTGCAATTTGAAATGCCGTAAAAGATGTCGATATGGCCACAAATGGACGATAATATGCAATAATAAGAAGAGTATCATAATATCAATAAGATCATTGGCACCTGCTGTCCATTTTCAATAAGCTAATTGTGTTACTTCCTTATCTGATAGTTTGTGGAACGAGCAAGTCATATTATCATGTCTTTAATGCAAAAATTATGGAAATTAATTGGAAATTCATAAATGTAAGACTAGAGTTAAAGAATTAATTGTTATTCTTTCGATTAGTGCTGAACGATTATTGGAATTGTTTTCTCTGGAATGTTTAAGAATGATAGACCGAGTAGCAAACAAAGGCATCAGCATTTAGAGAGAAAAAGAAGATTTAGAGATATCCAATCAACTAGTTAAATTCAATTTCCTCTCAAATGCAGCATTTTTAATACAATACCAACTTGAAAGCCACAAACATCGTCAGAAACTCTCATTTGATCCTCATAAGCTCCCTTTTGCTACTCGGCAAGCAGTAAATATTTCATGCATATAAAAAAAACTTTTAAAGGATATATGATAAAAGTAGTAAAAAAGACATTTAAGCACGAGACACATAAAACTGAATGGGAAGATGAGAATCGAGAGAAAATATGTTTGCAAGTTTGCGAGATAATGTTCTGCATAAGAATGAAAGGCGGAAGAATGGAGACAATTTCTTGCAATCAAATTCCTCTCGAAAGAAAATGTTTAAGCGATAAATTTTCAATTTTTCGCTATTTTTCTTTTTCCATCATCATCGTGGTCGTCGTCATGGATGTAAGTCGCTACTTTTCACCAATGATCATGACAAATTGTTTGACGTTAGGTAAATTATGGAAATGTGGGAAATATCTCGCATTTTTGTATGTACATATTATGATGGAAATGAGAAGTTTGCTTATATGAATCGCACAATACAGGCAATCCGGAAGAAATATTTGCGTATACTTTAACCAGACTCAATACCATTCATCTTAAAAATCGTAATGTTCCCCTTCCATTTTGTAAATCTTGCTTTATTTACAGCATAAAAATATATCATATCAAAAAAAAATCTTAATTTTGCTTTATGATTGATGAATCTAAAGCATTAACGATATTAATGTCACAAAAAGGAGACTTTGCCGTTTGATGTTCACATTTCGTAGAATTTATTAAATTTTTTTATCAAAAACTTTTCATCTGAAAGAAATTTTTTTTCTCCATCAAACCGCAACCATCATGGCAGTTTCCATCAAATAAGCCACAAAAGAACAGACGATAATGGTGAACATGGAAAAAAACCGAATAAATGAATGACAAATTAATTCTTATTAATCAAAAGGGGCGCCTTTTATAAAACAATTGAATGTAACCACTTTTGTGAGCATACTTTCATCTTACAATGGCTTTGACATTACTTTGAACGTTCATTAAAGAGAGATAAAAATACAGAGCTAATTAATTTCGAGTGTCTCGATTGAGTGGAATTTAAAAGTTTTCAAGAGATTTATGGTTTAAATTATTCAGAACTGGAAATTTAAGTGATTTCTACAAGTTTTGTACAAGGCAGGATAAGAATGTCATAGTTTGAGAATTAATGATGAGTTAAGAGGAAATATGTCAATGGGTTGTAAAGAAATGATATCAAGCATGTTTGAGCGATGGATAGAAGGGGTCTCGAGCTGTAAAGATAGAAATGAGAGCAAATACTTTGACAAGATTTAAGAGAAGTCTAAAAAGTCGTTTTTGCGGTTCATAATAAGTGATTTCATTTGGGATACGTAAATTGTGAACGGCATTCAAAGTCATTTAGTTTAATGATTCAGAAGTCTTCAGAGAATTAAAATATGAATAATTGAAATGACAAAAACAATTTAATTTCAAAAGACTGTAGATTTGTTGAAAAGGGGACAGAAAAAGTTCTCAGAATCGATTTGAAGGAAAATTTTAAATCCGTGACCAAGCCATCTGCAAAATTGTCGATATTTAACTTTAATAAGAGCTTCCAATAAATCGATAGGTTATTGGAGAGTTTTGAAATATTTCTATATGCTTGATATTTTCCCAAAAATCATTCACAATTAGTTCCTTTATGACTAAGACTAAGAATTTGATAAAATTGTTGAAGTAAATAAACTCCAGCAAACTCGTGGCTGCATGATCTCATTTTAAAAATTTTATTTCATTTCAGGAAGTATTCAATGGATGGAAATATCCATTATTTAATTCCTCAAATAGTTTTGTCGTAAAAAAATCTGCATTCTTCGAGTTTGTATGATTTTGTCGCCGGAGGCTACTAATAATATCCTTTATGTTCGTTGGCAATTTTACTATCCAATTTTACATCCACATTTTTGTTATAAAAGTAATAAAATGACACTCGAGTTTAAAAGTTTTTTATGTCTGCGAGTTTTTAAGGAACAAATAAAATTTTGAATTGCGAAATTGAAGGTATTTTAATAGATAAAGTTTAACACGCCCAAGCTGCCAATTAATGAGCATTAAAATTAAGTATTTCAAACTAAAACTATTTTTTCCTTATTGAAAATTCTTCGTTGCTCATTGAACTTATAAAACAGAATGAAGGTTGAACATAAAAACTTTTCAGAACTGCTGGTAGGACGAATAAAAAGAAATTTGCATTTAAATCTTCTTATTTTTTTATTAAATTTCAAATAAATCCGATTATTCTAGAAATTAATAGCTTTTAATTTCATAGAAACTATATCAATGATTCCCACATTCTATATTTTATTAAAATATCATTTCTTCATCTTCCTTTATTCTCATTTTAAGCTTCATCAACAGTTCAAGCACGTTACAATTTACATGAACAATCTTGTCAACTCTAAAGCACTTAAAGCTAATGAAAAAGATATTTTATGTCGAAAAATTATTCAAGGAAGTCTCAATAGTCACCAGAAAATCCATAATATCATCTGCTTTACTATGCTAATATTTTACAAAGTTAATTAATGCGAATAATATTTTTAAATGAAGTGTCATCATTCTTATGTGTACACTGAATATGTACAATGTCTTAAGAGCAAATTAGCTTTTTGTTGAGTTATTCGAGATAATGAAACCATTAAAGTGCACTTTATCGTAACTAATTTATTATAGCCTCTCAATTTGGCATTATATTGTTTGGTTTCATTATGTGTAGCAAGATGAAGGTCCTTCAAATGTTTGGCAGGAGTTGTTTGATGATTTAGGAATTAATTAAGCTTTGTTTCCATTTAAATAAGATGTGCCAAACTTGAATTGAAATAAAAATGATTTATGAAATATTTTGACGCTTTAAATATTGTTGGGAAGCTGCAAGGGGTTGGGACTATGCTTGACTTCTGCAATAATTCGCATAACTATTGTGGAATGTTCTTAATATTTCATTTGATCATTGATTTGAATTTAATTTGAAGACAGATCCCGTAAATCTTCAAAAACATAGATTTACAGTCAATTGAGTCCACCTCCCTTCTAAAATCAGTAACATTCAATTCATTCACACTAGAAACTCATAAATTCCCACTCATTTGATAATATTTTCATGATCATTCTCATACAAATTCATTATTATAATTGCTACCGTAAACAACGTTGTTGACATAATGAAAATAAACTTGTATATATTTGACCTCTAATTTAAAATTATTTCATCTCATTCCTAGCTGATAAGTGTTTCATTATCACGCATTTTGTTGCAATGCCTGAATAGTTTTATTGATAATAGACAGTCATCACTTCGTGAGGCATTCTTTTGTGCGAGTAATATTTTAATTTTGCCTTTTAAAATGTGCTTTCGAGTGTTAATTTTACTGTCGTTAGTTTTTAATGTTTATAAGTGCTCTTATAAGGATGATAATGAGCTGAGCATGATAAACTTGAATTGCATTTTTCAAGATTTCGAAAGTGATCCGTAAGTGCTGGCAAATATTTTTAATTAGCTTTAAAACTCATTAAAACTTGCTCTTAATAGATATGGATGTAAAGCTTCACATCTCTCTGTAAGCTCTCGAAAAACTACGATTCAGAAAGTCATTCACGGTAAAGGCAAAAGCTACAACGAGATATTAACTTTTTATGCATATAATCCGAATATAACTTTCATTCCAAAAGGAATTGGTGACTATTTTCCAAACCTCCAAAGATTCATCATTACAAAATCTCGATTGCGTCACATTGAATGGCGAGATTTCAGGAACATGAAGAACTTGAAAGTTTTGTCTCTTAACGAAAATAAAATTGAGCGAATTTCACAATGTGCATTTCAATATTTGGAGAACTTAGAAAGCATAAGTCTTGATGGAAATCAAATTAAAGCGCTTAATGAAAGGCATTTTATGAATTTACCAAATCTAGTTACAGTCTCGGCAAATGATAACAGCATAACAGAATTAGAAACAGATTTATTTCAAAATAATTTAAAATTGAAGGATATTCTATTCAGAAATAATCAACTTAAAGCAATTCGGATAAATTTTCGACAGCTACGAAGTCTAGGAATGGTTGATCTTCAATCAAATAAATGCATCAGCATAAAGTTTGAGTGCTGTGATTATTTTAGTGAATTTATTGGAAATATTACTCAAAAATGTGAAGGTCCGGGAATTTGTAATTAAATTATTGGAAAATAAATTGAATTTTTGTTACTTGGGCTTATTCATAAATGACGTCTATTAATAATTCAGCTTTTCAGAATCTTGCCCGTCCAAAAATTAATTTTTCTTTGGTAATGCTTAACAAAGAAACTTATAAAGCCAATTAATGTGTAAAACATTTTCTTTATAATTTTGATTGATGTCTTCAAAAAAATAAATTCATAAAATTAACAAACTTTTTGGCCTCAACGGTCACTAATGACATGAAAATGAAGCTAGTGTAGATGATTATAATGATGATGTCATTTATCATGTTGAAGAAAATTTATAACATAATCTCTGTACGCACTGTTGGAATATTATTACGCAAAATATATTTTCACGCAATTCCAATGTAATGAACTGACGGAAATGTGCTTACAGCATTTCTTGTAATAGGTTTTGGCAGCACGTATATGATTTAAAAATCAATTACAATGTGATACAATAATCGTCATTGCAATAGACTTTTCAATCATTATTCATTCTTCAAACTGCAACTTAATCTCATTTAATCTTTAACATCATTCAATTTTCTTTTGTGCATTCGTGAGGCTTCGTGACTCGACCATTAAAGATTCCAATTCGTAAGCTTAAAGTCAATCTATTTATCATGACAGCACGAAGTAAATGCAACAGTTAGCCTTTTCACATTTTCAGTAATACTATAAAAGTGAAATGCTATAAATCCTCATCGTAAATGACCTGAAATATTTTGTATTAAATTCACAATCATTAAAGATGATACTTTGGCATTTTCCAACTGTTGCTGCTTCTTTCTCTTTATCGACAATTAAACTTTTTAATTATTGCTGTATTTTTCGATGCAATTGCAATTTATTTAAACACTTAACCACTTGACTATCATAAAAATTTAAATAATTTAAATTGATGACCATTAATGCACTCCCGATAAAATACATTACAAAGCACTCGTTTAAATTTTTGCTAATTACTGCTTTGTGCCACAATCATTTTCACTACAAAATTGCAGTCATTTAAGGAGAAATATTATGTGATTCTTGATAATTGCATCAGTTCAATTTTAGTAAATTTTGAGGTGAACTTTAGATAGATTTAATGATGTAATTAAATCATTAATCTCTAATGGCAGGCACTGAGTACTAATTATGAATTTGAATTACGGTTATTATTGCTATGATGGAGTTAATTTACAGCGATAGATTGATGCAGGAATTAGAAATTTGATATTAATCGTGAATTGGAGGCGGTTTAATATATTAGAGGAGTAAATTGAGCTTTTAACATTTGAAATTGATGGTCTTGTTAAGGAAGAGTTAGTGGATTGATTTCCCAAGACAAAATTATTGCTGCACTTAAAAAATCCAATAAAATTCTGTTTTAGCATGTCTCATAATTTTACAGTGTCCTCAATAATTATCAGTTTTATTGCCATTTTAATAAATTTCTTCAAGACATAATTAAATAAAAATTTTAATTCTTATCTCAACTTAGTCACCTCCACAAACTCTCATCGTCTTATCCAAGAATTAACAATCCTATAAAAATTAATATCAAATCATAAATCATCTCTTTTCATAAGCAGAACGAGTGGCGACTTGATAAGAAAATATCTCGAGAATTATTTCCAGCCGTGATAGTCATTAATGCTTCCATTTCATTCCGTCTTTATTCTTGAGATAAAATTTTTATGAGAACTTTAAACTTCATTATATTTTCCTTCATCCGTACTCATTAAATTTCTTCACACGGAAGGAGATTAAAAGGTGATTTCATTTGGTTTTTTTATGACCTAAAGAATTTTCCTCATTTCATTGTTTTAAGGGATTAAGCTTGAGTGTTAAATGTCATGTGGGTCCGGGGGATCACTAATAATCCGGAAAATACTGAAAGCTGTTTTCCATCTCGATTAAAATTCATATGGCATTAAATCTACATAGCCTTAGATGTGAGGGACTAGAAAATAGAAAAAGGTGCGAGAACTGAATCAAATTTCACCTTCAAGTCCGATATTTATTTTCTTCTTCTAGTTCTCATTCAGCTCCCCAATAATTTATTATCCATTCGCACGTGAGATGTTTCCATAATGAAAATTGGAATTGAACAAGATAAAAGAGGGAATAAATGGGAGTGCAGGAGGAAGGAATAAGCATAATAATTGACCTTCTTACTATTGAGTTATTGTTACCATTAGCAGTTCTATTGGAAATGATGAATTTATTGTTACAGGTTGATATTAATGAGGCAATAAAGAATCATTTAAGAAAATTATTGTTCTATATTAATGATGCAATTATTAAAGTAATTACTGTAATAATATGCAGTGTTAAATGGAATTATTCAGAGCGTGAACATTTAATTCATCAATATTTTAGCAGATCACATCCACTGTTTAATTAAATCTCATTTATTTCGATTATTAGGATTGAACGAAGCACAGGCAGTTTGCGTGATCAGCATTAATTAACGTGAAATGTTGGCTATGCCATCAAAAAATATTATGGACATGTGCATAATTTGTAATTCATTATGTATTAACTTTATGCTGAATGTGCATGTTGATATGTTGTAAATAACACGCATTTCTTGTTAATGTTGTTTACTTTATCCAATGAACTTCTTTACTTGACATGATGATAATTAAAGCACTGTGATTTGTAATTAAACTTTGTTTAGCAATTTTCGCGATTTAAAGTTACGCTTGCTTGATAAATGGATGGAAACATTTAATAATAGTGACTTAATATGAAATAGCATTGGCATCAGAAATAGGTGATCTAATAGTGTCGCTTCTTGATGACAAACTAAGCCTATGATTTAAATGCATTTTTTGTAATTTCCTGTCGCTTTTTACTACTTCTAAGTTATTAGATCTTCAATATAGCATAATGACTCATATATGAGGTAAATCGAGGACCTCTTGTATTATCCTAGCATGAATTGTCATTGACAGGCTATTCACAACGTTCAAACAAAATCAGCCCTGTAAAGTTCTCACCCATTGCCTCTTTGTAATCATGAACTAAATTACGCACAATTAACTCAAAAATGTCACAAACAGAAAATTTTATAATTATTTGATATGATATTAATTACGGTATTTTATGACAGCAGCTTAATGGTGGCGATTAAAAAATTCCGAGAAGCATTCAAGGGCTGTAATTATTTTGGGATTAACCATGATTGAATTATCTAGATTTAATACTTTCTCAAATGTATGAATTGATGACAAGCATGTGAATGACAAATTTTTTCATAGAAGCATTTTCTCATTAATTCCTGTCCGTAAAACTTTTTTAAAGTACATGAACCGAAAACAATGAAAATATTATTTTGTTATCCTTTATGTTATACAAAGTCATCAATGTGCATGAAGCGGAAGAATGAAATGCAATTTGCCACACATAATGAGTCCCTGTTGCATTTGACAACAATAATGCAAGCATCTCTATGACAACAATTTGCTTGTATAAAATAAATCATCGATAGCCATGGAGACATTTCGTTCTGTTATTTTATTTTGATATATATTTTTCCTCAGTCTGTTGTGTCTTAAAATAAGAGTCTGAAAAAAAAATTTGTAATCATGCCACGAACAAAGCCTACATTAAAGCTTGGTGTCTATGGTACTTTTGACATCAATCCTGAACAAGCTGTATCATCGTATTTTGAGTCAAAATTACAAGATGAACTTTATAAGTAAGAATAAATGTTTTTTTGGATTTACACATCCTTCATTGAAACATTTTTCCTCTCACTTAATAGCAAGAAACCATGCTGGGATGTTCCACGTGAGGGCCTTCAACATGAAGCAATTGAAAATGAACGTGAATATTATGAAAACTTTGAGCAGCAGGAGATTTTGAAGAAAAAGGCAGCCATTCAAAGTAAAATCAATGAGAAGCGAATCGATGAGATGCATTTAACGCAAGCACAGTTGAGAGAAAAGTTCATTGGTGTGAATCAGTTTTTAAAGGAATGCACGAAGAAGACAAAACGTTCGGAAGTTCAAATTACAGAACAGAAGACGCAACAGGAAGTATTAAGCGATGAAATTGAGGCAATGCGGCGTGATACAATTGAATTATCAATATTTGAGAAGAAATTTAGGGAAATTGTTGAAGAATTCCAGCCATACGTTAATGTATTTAATGAAGTCATTGCACAATCTGAATACGAGTCATTTGAGGATTTGATCAATCACTGTGACTCACTTAGTACGTACTAATCATCGTCGATATAACTTAAAGCTTTTAATTAATAAACTATTACTTGTTGTCTAGTGCTAGCACAAGTGGAGATTGCCGAGAGAGAACAAGAACTCATTAAGGGAATTGAACTCGTTCGACAAAAAATGGTCGATTCAACAGCAAAAGCAGCACAACGAATCATCGAACTTAATGATGAACTTGCTGAGCTTGAGGTTTGCTACAAAATTCCATTTTTATCACACATCCATTAAGTCTTCTTGTTATTATCTCATACAATCTAGCGATGCTACAGCCAAGCCAAGTCGGAAACTTTCAAATGGGAAAATACTTTATCGACTGCAAAAGACTATATTACAGAGAATGAGAAGCAAACAATTACCCTCGTCGATTCTATCCAGCATTTATATGAATTGCTTGCTAAACGTAACGATGAGAAAACAAAGCTGAAGAAATTTGATGTGGGCGCACAGTTGGATTACATTCGCGATGAAATTGAAATACTTGAAGATATAATAAAGCGTGCACACCATAAGATGGCTAAGGAGGGGCAGAGTATGCTTGGCGAAGGAAGCAATCGTTTTCCTAATGTCGCTGATAAAGGTTCTAATTTGTCAGATTGAGATGTTGTGTAAGATGAAAAAAATTAATTTTCTTGTGCTTAGCGACAATTTTTTTTGGAATGCTTTAAAATAATAAAATTGTGTGTTTTGTGTTTCTATGGTAAATGTTGCGTACTGTGGCTTTAAAAATCTTAAATAAGTTATTTAAGTCTTTAAATTGTTTTGTCATTATTTAAATTTCGATTCTGAATTTGTGATGACAAAGATGACACAAAGGATGTAGCAAATTATTCCATAGTATGGTCATGAATAACGTACGATATGCACATGGGTGGTAATGATTGAATCTGACAGTCATCATATTTTTGTCATTTTATTTTCTTTTTATCTTGACATGCCCGTAATTTTTTCCATTGAAAACTGAGTGTCCTTTATCATTGGATGTCATTTACAGAGAAATTATTTTACTAATTTTAAAGCTTCTTCCCACATTAAAGTTCAGCTTATTCAATTTTTTATATACACAGTCAATGACTCTGAAATAGGGGTTCTAAAATCGGGAATATTCCCGGGAATTCCCGGGAACGGGAATCCCGTTCCCGTTCCCGTTTCCCGAAAATTTGTCGGGAATATTCCCGAAATTCCCGTTTTCATACCAAAAAACCGACAATTCAAATTAGATTTTTTTTTATGTTGTATCTTTCATGAAAAAACTACAATTTAAAGAAAAAAATTATAATAATAATGAAAACATACGTTAAGGAATTTAAGAGTTGAAATATTAAACTCAAATTTGATGTTTTTTAAATCATAAAAATATATTTATGAAAAACAAAGAGAAAAAATTGAAAATTTTGTGTGAATATGAAAGTATTTAAAAATATTTTTTTAAATGTATGATGTCCACAAAATAATAAACTTAATTGAAATTGGATTAAAGTAATTTTTCCAAAATAAAAAATGTGCTTGAAATTAATATTGAATATGTAAGTAATCAAAAAATCAGTTCATAAGTTGTAATTTAATCATGTACATATTCGTAGATTATCAGAAGTCAATAAATTAGGATGTCTTGGGTTTGGAAGCATTTTACAGTTATAGATTGCTAGACCAGCACGTTAATGCAATCAGGTTTTTAAAATCGTATTTAAGAATTGTTCTAAAACCAAAAAGAATTGAATTTTAAACGGAAATTATTGTCAAAAGAATCAATTTGACAATCAAATCAAATAGAATTCAAATTTGATTTAAAAACTTAAATAAAATACATGATGTAAGTGTAGCTTTTAATTTTTTTTTCTTTGTTGATTCCCGGGAATATTCCCGTTCCGGGACATCATTCCCGTTCCCGTTCCCGATTCCCGAAATCTTACGGGAACGGGAATTCTGGAACCCCTACTCTGAAATCTCATTTTTTTAAATCTTAAATCCAAATTCAAGCCTTTTGCATGCAAACTTTACAAAATTCCAAACCCTCGAATTTATTTATATCCAAAAATGTCATTTTTCAACATCAGCACATGCGAGAATTAAAGGCACGAGTAAAATCAACGACAAAAGCGACATCAATCAATCGAAGTTGATGCCTATGAATAAACTTTTTTTTTTGGGCTACAGATGTATGCGTGAGCATGTGTTTAATACTATGGAACTAAATCTCGATCAATCGATGGATGAATACATAAAAATTTACACACATGAGAAAGATGACTGCTTTTGGAACCGAAAAAAAAATCGCTACTGGCTTTTTGCTCCAGTTTTGAAAACGTGTTAAAAAGTCGATTTATTTATTGCTCAATTCGCATTGTGCGGAATGTAAATTGTTTGCTTTTATGTCATTTATGCACGAGATTTATTGCGAATATTTTTGTGTACTTTAAAGCGGTGCTTGGAAATTTTTTATCTTGCATATTTTTGTGCTCACGTAGAAAAATCTTTAATTGTTGTAAAATCTTGGAACTTACCTGATCTATAAAATGTGTCGACATGTTCAGACTCAACACTTTGAAGATTATCAGACTCATTATCGTCATCATCATTATCTTTCTGTGTTGAGTGTTTGTTTCGAGTTGGACGTGTCTCAAGTGGTAGAATATCATCTGTAAATTAATGAAGACATAAAAAAGATAAATATCTCGTCTATAAGAACATGACCTATCGCAACTTACCTAACGTTGGACCTGGTCGTGGCTTACGATTTGGATAAAGTTTTCTCTCCAAAAATGATGTTAAAATTTGTTCCGTAATTTTATTTTGTCTTTGGACTTCATGAACATCATCGGCTGAAATTAAAAGTTTTGTTAAAGTTGTGCTTTAAAGTTGTTAAAAGATCATTTCTATTCAAAATTCCTCATTCATCAATTTTATGCTCGCAACTTTAATGGATACAAAAAATAAGTATATCCTGTGGCTATTTAGCATTATTATGGCAGCTACTGGACTGCAGCATTAAACTGATTGATATTGAACTTTCACCAGTCAGCCTAATTGATGTCCAGAGGGAATGTTAAGTTAATTTAAGCCAATTTCCGCAATGAAATTTCACTGGAGATTTGCTCTACTGGAATTATTTATATTGAACGTTTCTAGCATTTATGCTTTAGTTGTTCGGATGTTTTCTTTGATTTCTTGAAGATTTAAGGACTGAATTTTTAAGTTTTTGCAAATTTGTCTGGAAATTATTTATTATAGAATTTATCAAATGATAAAGAATCAATTACTCTAAAAATCACGCAATCCAGATGAACATTTCAAGTTCGTCGACATTCCTTTAACATGAAATTCTTTACATAAGAAATTTGTCAAATTATCACTTTCCAAAAACTCAATATTTACGTCTTCCGCTAGATTGATACTGAAGTGCTTCATGTTAATGTTGAAAAACACACATTCAGCACGTAGACAACACAATCTTTCCATTGCACGTGCCTAAGAAAACAAATGTTAATCTAAATTAGGCGGAAAGATTTAAGACGGAAATTTTTAACAGGTGATTAACTTTAAATTGATGATTAATAGGAGAAACTTAGTGTGATCTGTAATTAGTGGAAACTTTTTATATTCATTTCTTAACAAATGAGTCAAAAGCTATCAAACAAGATGCATTTAGATGTTTAAAAAACATTAGTCATTGTAAAAGATTCAAGACTTGTGAAATCACAAGATCTAAATCTCCTAAATACCTTATCCGAAAAGAACAAGCTGGTAAATCGAATAGAAATCTGGTGCCAAACCGGCAAAGTACTTACTTCGATTTAAATCCATCACCATGCTAGATTCACACCAGCTTGATGCTGGATTTCTGATCGATTAACCGACTTGTGCCGCCATTCGAATTAACAATTTACAACTTAATCAACAACTTTGAAAGGCAGAAAATTATCAGTCATTAAGTGCCATACATTTTTTCAATCCATAAATGAATCATTCCTATTAACCTCCAATCATAATATAATGACCATATTAGCCATCTACTTATTAATAAAAAATTACCCATTCAGACCAATATGACCGATCTTTTGATCTCTTAACAACAGGCCCACAAGTCAACACTTTGCTGTTAAACAATATAAATGTTTTGTTTAAAAAATCATTTATCAAAAAAAGATTTTATTATTAAATTTCAATATCATAAGTGTCATAATAGCCAAAATATTCTCTATGAATGAGACAATAACATTACCAAAAGTACATTAATTAATGTCTTGAAAATTCCCAATCAAGTAATTGACATATTATTTAAAGAAACAAAGGGAAATGAGAGAGTGAAAAATGAAAGCTATTAAATGCACTGTATAAAAAGCATTAAAAGGCTTCAGAGAGATTAAGTTTATAAGAAAATAAATCGAATAGTTTTTTCACACTGCAATGGATAATCGGATTTGAGAAATTGCATGCTTTATATTTTTCCAACATGACAAAGGAATAGAGAGCACTAAATGTATGGATATAAACCTATTCATATGCTTCAAAATGTTCAAATCAGATATGTTGGAAATCTATTGGGAATCTTTCATAAATGATGTTTAATTTTTGAGAATGTGGAAATGAGTAAAGAGTATAAGAATCTAATTTCTTGATGGACGTCATTTATGAACAACAAATTGGATGAATAAGAAAGTAAAAAATAACTGAAAGTGCATTGTGCAATTTAATATGTTTTAAATGCTTAAGACACAATAATGCCGAACCATTAGACCGTCGCATAAAAAAAATCTGATAATGTAGACCACAAGACGCAGAAGAAATACGAGACACACGTGCGTGCACAAGAAATGAAAAACAAAAACAAAAACTTGACGGTAATTGACATAATTTAATTCCATAACTTTGTTTTTCTTTCCACAGTCGACTCAAAGATTTTCTAGAAATTCCGAAAGCACAGCTGATCACGTTCCGTCAGCAAATATTTTCTGTGGTTTCTCATTTCATTTCTTCTTTTTATCTTTTTTTGCAATCTCAGCTTTTCGTCTCTCGCTCATTTGTCGATAATGTTTTTTTCTCTACTTTGTGATCCACATGCTTTCAATTTGATGTTGTTGGAGAAATAAAAGAGGAGGAAATCATCAAAAAGTAACCAAAGTAACAAGCGATGGCAAGTTTTCTTGATTGAAAAAAAAGCGAAATTTCAGCAACAAGCTTATGGATTTTATTTTTCTTTCGAAGAAAATCTAATTATTTCAGTCACTGGAGCATTTTTCACATTTTTCTTTAATAGAGCTGAGAAATTTATTTTATTAAAGAGACAATTGTTGTTGCTGTAATAACATGGTTTGATCTTTTGATCGGATTTTGTGGGGTAAAATGTGATCTTCTTAAACGATTTGGGGTTTTGTGTAGTTGAGTAACTTGTTTTATGCTATTTGATGGAACTCAATCAATATAACCTAACTTAAGGTATGAAAATGTGGTCAAGTGTCATTGGCTGATGATACTGCAACTCATTTTAAGCTAATCTGGAGCACCATTCCCACTAGTTCTTTATTTATCAATTGAAATCAAAATCCATTCAACTCAATTGCTTGCCAATTCTACATCTTAATGCGCCTCAACCCTCAACATTCCCTTCCAAATTCTCTCCAACTTGATCTCTTTATTGTGACTTCTTTTCACATCCATATGATGTATGAAGTTTGAGCCATAATTGGAATTGCATTTCGAACAACTAATAGTATTATAGCTTGTGACTGCTGCCGATGTTGTCGATGAGATGTAAATAGCTATATGGATGGAAAAAGAAGCGGAGCAGCATAGCATGTTGTTGTGTATAAAAATTTTAATATCATTCGCGATATTTCCAGTTCACATGTGGTGAAAGTGTTACATAAAAATATTGAATATAATTTTTTTTTGAATATACAAAAAGCCATCGAGTCATTTATGTTGAATTAAATAGACATTGAATATAAATTTATTAATATTTGGTTTATAATAATTGATGAAAAGTTGCTACATTTAAACTAGAAATTGTCTTGGATTTTTGATGGGCTCTGTTCGTTAGGCAATATTAGCTTCATTATTTATAGCCTCAAGGATGACAATAAGTAAGTCAATTGAATGGGTAAAATGCATACAATTTTCTTATTGCCACGCTTAATCACCTGTGGTTTATGATGTCAAAACATGTACACGCATTTAAATTGCAAAATATTGCATAGCACTGACTTTTCCTCATTTGTGGAATTTTCAATCCACGGCGTCATCATAATAAGCATTACAATCCCAGTGAAAATACGGAAAATGATGTAATCCGAAAAAGCAGTTAAAATGCTGCTGACGATGATATCCAACACCATTTATCAGCATCATTGATTTTTAATTTGATGAGATGCGCATTTTTAATTCATCCGATTGTTGTTACTTCACACATTTTTCAATGAAGCGCATCGAGAGATATTTCGGTTATTGCTGATTGTGTTGGATTGTGGTGAGTAAGAACCGGATGAATTTGGGATTTTTTTTCGGAACTCATAATTGATGAGCTGTTGATGATTTACGAGCTATTAACCCATAATGTAATTTCCGATTATTTGATGTCTAAAGCAGGTAAGAAACCTCTCAGCATGACACTGAACTTTAAATTGATTTCATTACCATAAACTCTTTTGGAACCGTTTAATAATTACGGAACGATTTTAGGAGGTAGCGGATCTTTGAATTTGAGTCAGTTAATATTTTTTTCCTGGTAGATTTGTGACTAGGGAGCAGGAGGGGGAGGAAGGGGTTGAAAATCGTTGAATACGTCAAGTAACATGTGAACAGCCACTTGGGTCAATTATGAAAATTTCCATAAAATCTCACAATAAAAACAATTTGTTTTCACCCAATAAATTCCAATCCTTTATTCTTCCAGCATCATGATTGATTGCCGAAAAAAAGTACCTATGTACACAAAATAATTCAATCATCACTTTCCATTCTTCTTCAAATCAAAATCAAACGTCTATTCATCTATTCATCTACACATCTTGATGTCATACTCAATTCAAATATTCAATATTTTGTTATTCTTATTTTCAGCATAGTATGAATAAGATGAGACATGAAAAATTATTGTAATAATATCAGATAACCAATTTTTCATAATATCATTTTTGTGCTGTATAAAATATCAATGGATTGATGATGTTACATAAATTAAATTAAAAAAGAAAATGGGAAAAATTTCATTTATTTTGAGTCTGTTTGTGGATGGGATGTAGAGCATCAACATATTGATCCATAAAATTGGATTTTGTGCTCCAATTACCATGCTGTAAATCCAATAATATCAACGCATGATGCAATTTAAGATTAAAATAAACCCAATATCATCCACTAGAACCTTAACATTTAACTTGAAAATGTCTCGAATTTCTCAAGCTACTGTAATTTAATTTCCTGTCGACTTCAAAGACTGCATCAGATGCACGACTTTTATCTCTGAAATTCGATAATGCTACGACGACAAGAAGCTTATTAGACCTTGATCTACCTTAGTATGACATCTGATACATTTTCTACAATATTATTATTTTTCATCATATAAAATGCTCTATGCTGTGCAATGTTAGCTCCACCTACGCTTTTAGATGCAATTTTTATGATATATTGTGGATTTATGGGTAGATTGTCTGGGTATTGAACCTTGTGAACTTGAACTAAGTGTTTGAAGTACAATATCATTTTTATAGATGTTTGAAGCTTATTGAAATTTTTAAAATGACATTTCCTATCATTTCATCCCTAAAATAATAACTTCTGAATGTCAAACTCAATTTTCATTATTAAAAACTTCAAAAAC